CAGACAAAAACTGCCAGCAAACACAGTGTTACCAACGTTTGGCATTTGCCTCCAACAATCGAACATATCTGACCTTGCTGTGCTACATTTTGTAAAGGATTGTGATTCCAGCGTGGCACATGTTAACACTGTGTACTCTCGATTATTTCAGATGTTTCATTCTTTTTTAAAATTGAACGACAGATTACAGCACCACATATTCATTGAATAAATTCCCTATTCCTATTATATCATTTACATATTCATCACAGTTATCAATGATCACGATTTTTTGTAGTATAACATATACGCCTCGGAAGTCTGAAAATAATTTTTCTTAAATTTTGCAATAATTTTTTTTGGAAACAGTTCTCGTTTGCACGCAAGGCAAAATCCCTAGAATACTTACATTTATGCCACTTGCAGATGAAGACGAAACACTCTCGTCATCAAATCGCAGCCATTCACCAGTTGTTCCATGACAGACCAATGCTGTGTAGTGACCACTATTCAATCGACCACAGTGATTCTGAACACAGACAAAGAATGGTTCTTAAATAATAGCTAAAATGATCGCAAAAAATAGATCTCACCGTTACTGCATATAATCGATATGGCATTGCTTTTTCAGGTGAGTTTGCATGCAAATATTCAGAAAGATCAAGTCGACCAGGATCAAAATCTACGTGCATAGTATTCTTAGCATAGTCCCCATTTTCCATTGAAAAGCGCTTAAGATGAACCACCTGAAAATAATATTCGAATAGCGTAAACACTTGTGCTTGCAAAAATATTATATTCACCAAAGGATTAGCAAACTGTCCATCGACCAACAGGGACCTAGCCTGTATGATCTCTATGCTCACTATCCCTCCCCTCCCCACTCCTACCATACTCAGACCAACACAGATGCGTATACTAAAACTAAAATTTGACGAGAGGACTAACTGGGTGGCACTTCAGTGCCACCTAATAAGTATTTTCGCCGTATCATAAACGCATGTCTTGAGGTAGGTCTAGATATCTCTCGAGGAAACCACGTGTTTAATCGGTTGAGAGTGGTTCTAATGCTGGAGATGAGCGATCGCTTCTCTTCCAAAAAAATGTATAGATGCAAGAAAAAAAACGCACCACAACAGGTGGAAGCGACCACAGCTTTGTTAGGCGTGACGCTCGTTTCGGAGCACGACACCTTGGGCAGTTCCAACGGCAGTCACCATCCAAGGTCTGCAAAAAATAATTTATCAGCAAAAATAATTTATCAATCTACTGCGTATCGCTTGCTGCACAGGGCATCACCACTCAATCGCCTTTGTGTGGCCGCTTCTGAATGAAAGATTACGCTTCCAATGGATTTGTTTGGATCTGTTTTGATTGATAACTGTTGATTTTGGCCACAATTTGCCTTGCGAAATCGCAAGGATGGTGGCTTATGAACAAAGTTGGCCCCAAGCGTGACCCGGACAGGGCAAGTGCGCTGCAAGTTAGGCTACGCTAGTTACGTTTATAACCCAACATTCTTGTGCATCTATTTGACATTAATTCGTGAGTCGAAGTCGTCAGTGCATGTTTCAAGAGCAGGTTTCAAGAGCCGCAAAATAGTGAAATAGTATGGGAACAAATATGTGATGTTTGTTTGCTGGTGCTGTTACATACCATACATTACTCAGAGAGCGGCCCTCGACAAAGCGAAAGGAGGCCCAGGTGGACCAAAAAGAAAACGCTTTAGGGAGACCAAATGATGGGACGAAAACACTAAAAATGACCCTCTAAAAGCCAACGAAGATGCTTAAACAATTTAGAAAAATATGCGGCAAGGGGTAGACACACATCCGCTTCATGAATACAGTGTTTCTAAACAAACTGGTTTTCAATGAATCACGCTTTTTTGGGGATGCGGGAATAGTAGCCTTTCTAGACAACACAAGTTCAAAGCATGTGTCGCTTTGCCCTATCTCGTACCATTATGGGGGGGCGAGAACGCACAGATATTTTGCCGAGCATAACTGTGTGGTAGGTGTTACATGAAGGCTCTCTTTTTTACGTCAAACTGGAAACACCTGTTTCCCCATCACTGCCGCAGATATTATACATTCTCTACACTGAGAGGTGATGAAGCGCAAGCCAACGCCTTCGACAAATCAGTAATCTTGACGATGGATTTTCCATAATACTACTCGAAGGGAATAAAGATTGCTATTGGACCTCAAGTCTCGGATTACACTCCAACAATACTCGATGAAAAAATTCCGATGTACAGAATCAAAACTAGGAAAGAAAACCACTCACTGTCTGCGAGAAATGACTGCTAAGGCACTGATGCAAGCTCGTACGAGATGCATGGACCGGTAGTTCCACAGTTATCAAGCTGCACTCCTCGAATGTAGCAGACTGTTCACCACATGCCGTACAACGAGTAGCAACTGAAAAAAGCTTAATAAGTAACGTTTCTGAATCGGAAATATTCTCATTGTATATCTGCTGCTGTGGCAAGCAAATAAGTGCTGCAACCGGAGCTTATACGTCTTCGTGTAGACGAACTCACATTGAAAATCTCGTTTACCGGTGAGAACGAAAACTTGAGGCTTTTCGATTTGTAGTCCTTAGCGTCATTCATTATTTGTGATCCTCCCTTGTAATTTTGCTCGAACGACACTCGCTTTGTCACCTTAAAAAACACCACTCTATTTCTCTGGTAAATTGTGAAGACGACAAAAACCTAGAAGACTTTATACGCTCTCGCTCTCAATAAACTGACTAAATCAAATACCTGATTGGTATCTTCATGAAGAGCGTCCAGCAGGAATAATTGAAATTCAGATGCATCATGTTGGTGACCATCAGCGAGGCACGAGTTTACCTCACTAGCGAACAAGCGCTAAAACAGCGAAAACGACTAGAGCAGTTAATAGGCTTAAATAAAATTGCTAATGTTCCAAGAGGCTCAGCACAGTAACTGAGAGACACAGCGCCGCATTGCAATCCGAAATCGCCAAGATAGAACAAACCTCCTATCCTTTCACACCGGCTTATTACTCACAATCAATACCAGACTAGGGGCCAAAACAGCTTGAATATCGCCCCCCCCCCCAACCCCTCTCAAGCGTGATCTCTTTAAAGGAAGCAGTCACGATAATTTTCATGGCAACGATAAGGAAAGCTATGTATTGGAGTGGATAGAGGTCCTGCCCAATGTTAGAACACGTGAAGTTTCAGTGGCAGTGGCGCCTTATCAACGGAGTGATAAGGCGCCGAAATCCACTTCCGTTCAGCAAAAACCAAGACTTATCGATGTGGAAAGGGGTGCGATAAGAGCGTGCTAGATATGATACCGTTATCGTTATCGTCCCGTTTTCATTCTGGAGTGCACCTCTTATCAAGCAGCCGCACCTTCTTATCTCATCGTATCATATCTTCCATGGGCTTACACTCGTCCAACAATTACTGCCTCACACCTTATCGATTGATAACGCGAGGGTAGCAAATCCAGCGTGGAAGCCAGCGTGACTGCTTCCTTTAACGCAGATAGAAGCATTCAAGTGCCTCGAAGATTGTAAAGGAGGATTAAGCTGTCAAACTGTCAGTCTCTTGGGTTGCGTGGCGCAATCCAGAACGCTTGGCCGCTTCGATAGTAAGCCGCAAGGCCTAAAGGCAGAATTTGCAATGGAAAAGCGTGGTTTGCCATCAAAAAATTGCAGCTGGGTGACATAGATGGGTAACGTCAATAAAGTAAAAAAGCCCACAAAATCAAGCATTCATAATGATATCATGTCACGAAAATAAATTACGCAGGCTTGATCAAATGGAATCTTTTTTTTTTCCTAAGCGAGTTACAACAAATATGACAGGCCCTGCATAGTGGTCATCACTCAGCCTATCACACTTTGAAGGACGAATTCACGATGAAAAAGCAACCCATTTCAAATTAACCTAGGGATGGTGAGTGGTACACGAAAGAAGGAAGAACCATGAGAAACGGCCCAGAACCCGAGAAATGGTACCCCTTCCTTGCCCGTTGATTCGAGCATTGATGCGACTCTCATCGCTGTGCCCTCTTCAACACTACGCTCTCTCAGCTATCTAATCACTAGCCGGTGTAGGCTTGCGACTAGCGATTAGATAGTTGGTGGGCGGAGCCTGCCGACCGCGCCAGTAATGAGCCCCACTACGTCGTCGAGATCAAATCTTTCGGTGTCGATTGCGCGTCAATACGCCTCTTCACGAAGTCCGCCGGTCCCTCAACTAGGTGAATTACACCTTCTTCGACCTTCATTGACTCTGATAGATGTTATCATTTCTAAATTGTTATTATTGGATAACTGCTGTCATGGTTAAAGCTTGCTGTGTGATGACTTGCTGCATCAAAGGACTTAGGAGGTAACCAACAGCAGTGGAGGAACACAAAAAGAAATTGACCATGTATCTGCAAAAAAGAATCTCCCAGAACTGTAAAAGAGATTAATGCACACTCCCGGTGAAAAACTGGCTCTGAAGCACAGGCCCCTCCCTCCTGGCAGGCATTGCCGCGAACCTACCGGAGAAGACAATGGTAAGGACCGAGCGAAGATTATGGTGCTCTCTCAGATTCACACCAGTCCAGACCTTGAGGACCAGGTTCAACGTCCGTATCGAACAGTTCGAACGGGGGTCGCATTTCTGGGAGGGAAAAGGGGGTCGCATTTTGGGCTCTGGGAGGGAAAAGGGGGTCGCATTTGGGCTCTGGGAGGGAAAAGGGGGTCGCATTTGGGCTCTGGGAGGGAAAAGGGGGTCGCATTGCGCGCGCTTTGGTCATCAGGCAGGGCAGAGGTGTGTGTGAAAAAAAGCAAAAAAGTTGCCGTTTCAGTGGTTGTATATACCCCCCCCGCTCGACGGCTATTTTTGGGGAAAAAGTAGGCGGAGTTTCGGAGTTTTAGGTAGGTTTTGGGCTGTGTCAACTGGTCTCAGAATCAAATACTATAGAAGAGGGAGAGGTCGCGGTGGGGGATGGCTGGTGTTGTATTGGGGGGTCGCAATTGTGTATTGGTGGGGGTCGCAACTGGACCCCTTCCAGAGGGGGGGTCGCAAAAATCCCGAAAATGTTCGAACGTGACGGTTGACCCTGGTCCGGGGACTTCGGCTAAGACCATCCGGCCATACGCCAAAGGGTAGACGAAATTGATGTGAAGGAGGGAAAGGCAGGGCTGTGTGGTTTTGGAACGAGCAAGTCAAGTGAAGTGTGAAACGAAACAGGAATATTAGGCACTGGATGGGAACGCAGAGCAAAGAGGACTTCACTGGCTATAGGGGCTGCGAGATTCTCGCCAGCAGCCGCCGCTATGGCGGTGAACACGGGAATGGACGCCATGTTCGTCTAAGAAGTGAAATGCGAGCAAGTTCGTCTACAGCGACTGGCTAGCAGGCTTAGCGATTCAGCATGGAGCTACACAAGACATCACGGTGGCGACGAGTGTAAAGAGCAGCGACGGCACCATCCTGAAGGAGCCAGCCGGAGCCAAGGAGAGGTAGGAACAATAGCAAAGCGGACTTCTAAAAATTGAGCAAGCCGACGAAGACAGCCCACAAGCAGTGGCGACGGAATGGTTCCATTTCACTCTGGACAGAGGATGATGGTCCGTCAAGAAATAAGGAAATGAAGTTTGGTAAGCGGTAGGTTTAGAAAGGTACAATCGAAGCACGGCGCTAAAAGAGTGCGGAATAAAACGGAACCCGCTTGCTGAACAAGGTAATTGTATGAGGAAGGATGCGACACCTGAAAAGCAAGAATTATTGTCCCTATCTGCAAGCAGGAGAAAGCTGCGTTGGAGGCGCAACTACCGTGAAATCAAGTTAAGGACGAATTCACGATTAGAATGAAGATCGAAGGAGTAATTCACCTAGTTGAGGGACCCGCGGACCTCCTAAGGGTGCGGACTGAAGCGCAATTGGCACCGAAGGAGTTGACCTCGGCGACCTATTAAGGCTCAATCTTGGCGCGGTGGGCCAGTGCACGCCCACCGATCGTATCTAACTCGCTAGTCGCAAGCCTACACCCGGCTAGTGATTTTATACTAGAGAGCGTAGTGTTAAAAAGGGCACAGCGATGAAATTTGCGTCAATGCTTACTTCAACCGGCAAGGAAGGGAAGGGACCACTTTCCGGGTTCTAGACCGTTCGTCATGGTTCTTCCTTCTTTAGTGTACCATCACCGTCGCTAAGTTAATTTAAAATGGATTGCCTTTCCAGCGTGAATTCATCCTTTAACTGACTACCATTACGTGCAAGCGACTAGTCGATTTGAAGTTGAAAGTAGTCCCTACCTTTCCAGTAACACTTCGGGTCCATGTCTGAAAGGTTCAAAAGGTATGCCACCTTTATCGCCAGCACAATTGATGGAGAGGTATCAAAAATGTGGTACCGCTACGTAATCTACATCGACCTGAAGGAGTGCGACCACTTACCGCGACCAGTACTATGGAGAGCGCTCAAAACATGAAAGGTTTCCAACATATCTGCTCTCCCTTGTGGAGGATATGTACGACCCGTTGTGTAGGACATGTACGATCGGGCTAGAGCAGCCTCATTTACTCACTCTTACCGGCGTCGAGTAAGGGGTATATGTCACAATTAAACACGATTGCGATCAAGCGATTTTCTGGGTGATCCCGAAGAATTGCCGTCCTCATGCTGAAAACGCTTCCATACGGTGTAATTACCAAATCAATGAGAACACAATGCGGAAACTGCTGAAACATCATTTGTCTCGTACAAATGCTTAATGGCTGCAAACCAAGCAAAAATCTTCCCGTCCCGCAAAGGTGAAACTTCGGAACGCTCTCGGAAAATTCCAATTTTCCACTGTAGAATCCACAAATGAGGTTGAACACAAATCTCTTTTCCGCCAATTGTTGTACATTGAATCAATGGAGTCAACTGGAACTCTTCTAACGATCGAAAATGTCACCACATCAAAGGGAGAAAAAAAGGTTTTGCACCAACCGACAGTGACTAAAGCTTTGCAATGCTCGATATAAGAATGCGGCTGGACGCAAGTTGATAGAGTCAGAAACAGTGACACCAGAGCCGTCACACAGACCTCGTGTGGACGTGAAGAAGCAGCAACTACGATGGTACCGGCATGTGCTGAGAGGGCTATAGGATATCAGATAAGTAAGGTACGGATATCAATGTCCAACTGGATATCGATGTCCAAGGCGAGCGACCTCTATGAGCCCCAAGAAAATATGAAGGGAGGCCATAGAGGAGAGCTTCACTGAAGATAATGCCACGGAAGAACATGCCTTAGACAGGCCGTGTGGCTATGCCTCACAAAAGTACGTATCAGACACTGCACTGGATTACAAGGAGCATGAAGAAAGATGAATCGTAGGTATGGTTAAACTGCGCGGATACGGCCCAAACCTGTGAAAGCCGCAAAAAAACAAAGCTAAACCTTACTAGAAATCTTTGAGGTTTGATGGCCGTATACTGTCCACTCCAAATCACGTCCATCATTGCGCTGAACACAGCCGATATCACTCCACCGGTACCCATTGTATTATGCCTGAATATGACTTCATTTCATTTCATTGCTTTTCCAACACAACCAACTAATTAGTGTGTTGGAGAGAAAGACTAGGACTAGAAAGTAGAAAACATAAGAAGCGTTATCTCAACAAGATATTCGTGTTGAAGATAACTAAGTTGATGCAAGAGACAAAAGACCTCCGGCTCATCAACACGTCATCTCTCAAGTTTCCTTAAAGGAAGCGATTACGATAAGGAATTTTCGCATCGGGGGAGAACCTGCGCCACACGGAGCAATTACTTGGCTGCCAAGGAAGCGATGTGTGGCCCTCCCACGGCGAAAGGTGCTGTGGTTGCTGAGCAGGACCCGCGTGACGCCCGCCCCCAGTGACGTGACGCCCACTAGTTTTGTTGATGATCTGGATGGACTGTTTGCTGTTGGCTTTTCATTTTGGATGATCATTTCCCTTCTAGCGGCTGTATCTTCCAACTTGCCCACGTATTGCCTTATCAATCAAACACTATGCTTGTTGGCATGATGGCGGCTATCGGGGTTAACACGTCCGAACAACGTCGTTCTTTACCGTCGCTCATCCATGGTCGAAAATGAAAGGGCAATCAAAGGGGTACTATTTTGCTTATTTTTGACGGATTTCTTTGCTTTTTTCGCCATTGGCGTACTATTGAGACCCTCACGTCCCCTCTAAACCCCTGTGAGATCTATCGTAATCGCTTCCTTTAACGCAAACCACGTAATTATGGATTAAAAAAATTCAAAACTCAGGAAGCCGGTTAGAACTCACGGATTAACACGAGACATGAAATTTTCTTTTGAGAAGATTGACAGCATTAATGGTGTGTGGAACAAAGCCTGAAAAAGACTACATCATTCGGAACATGTCGAAAAGCTACTTCAAGATCAAGTAATTACAATAATAGGCTAAACTAACGATTCTTTGATTAGGCTAAGGTAAGTTTTTACCTATCAGGAAAAAATGTCATAAAACTAATCTTGTAGGATATCAATTGTTGTGGGCAGTCATGATACTCAAGATAAACCGTAAAAC